ATACACACCATTGATGCAAATGGCTGCAGAGCTTCAGTGGTTAATGGGCACAATGTACTCTGAGGTCCTCAAATGAAAAGCATTATGAAAATGGAGTATGCACCTTGACTTCCCGGTGGCCTGCGCAATTATTTTGTATGTCTATACAAGCTTTTAAACTTGCTCTATGCTCCTTGAGTACCTTTAATCTTCAGGAAGCATACCCTCCCTAGTTCCATCTATGCTAGTGAACTTTCTCTCATTCTGGATAAAGTAATTTGTTCTAGATGCTTAATATACCAAGCATACTCTGGCAACTATAGAATAATTTTTTACCAATGCCTGAATTCCAGGTTTCACTTTATAGTTTAGCACATGCAAGTGATGAGGACTGCCCAGGCGTTTGCAGAGAACTCTACTCAGCCAGAGAACCAGTTACCCTATCTGCAGGTACGACGACAGGCAGGCATTCACACACAGCATCTCTTGTGAAGTCAAGTCTTCACTTCCTTTTTCACCACCTCTTAAATCCATATCCTGAAGAGAACGATAGGTCACCTGGTTTTCCTTGAATAGCCTATACATAGGGTCTGATGAGAAATTCTTGTATGAAATTGCTTATTTCTAAAAATGGATAAGGTGTGGAGGGCCGTAGCAGTTTGGCTCAAACAGATATTTTGTCAGTACATATTATTAACTGGATTTTTTTGTATGACTTGTCATTGGACTCCACTGGCTGATACTGTATTTTGTGCTCAAGGAAAAGCTTTGTAAAAACTGTTCAAGCTTCACTGAGACATGTTAAAGAATTAATTACAAAGTAAAGCTGAAAGAGAAAATTAATTTTGGAAACAGGAGAGGTTACTTTTCTTTTCCTCCCTTTTCTGGAAGTGGGGGAGGCAAGGCAGTTATTTTCATCTTCATCCTGGGGGCAGAAACTGGGCGCTGTCCAGTCGATAACCTGGCCATCAGAACAAGGTTTGTAATTAAAAGGTCAGTGACCTGGAAAGCAGGGACCTCACTCTCAGGGCTTCTCAGTAATGATGGCACTATTAAATTAAGACTGTTATGAAATCAATGCTAAAAAAGCTTTCATGGTAACGAGATTCCATTCAAGGACATGCAAACTGCCTCATGAAATGGACTTAAATTATAAAAAAGAAAAGTAATAAAAGAGGGTTAAATTGAAATCTGCTGAAGAATTCACATCCTTTAAAACTCTTCAGCAATAGGCTGTGCCCCCTTCAGTCAAGTTCTCAAGGTGATCCACTTGTGTCTCTTTGATAAGAGAAAAAGACAGGGAAAAAACTTCCAAGAATGCAGGTACAGACAGAAGAACAAAACTAAGTTGATTTACTACTGAACATTTGGGGATTCGTGACATTTGTTTCAAAGAAATCAAATATCAATCCATATTTTTGAGCTCTAAATGGAAGGGCTAGGTAAATTAAATAGTTTACCTGTCTCTTCAGAAATCATCATAGCCCGATACCTTGGCAGTGGCATAAGTTTCTGGAACTGTGCTGCACTGCAAAAAGCCGTGCAAGACGCATCAGAGAACCTTTCTTAGTAACTCACTTCCTCACAGCCAAAGCAGTGAAGCAGATTAGTAGAAACAACATGTAAAAGGGCAAAACTTCCCACAACCTCCTGCTTATTTCAGCAAGAGTTTTATTCCTCTTGGAAGTAGGTAGCCTGAATACACGAAAGACTAATCCAGGTAGCAGATGAAGAGAACCAGCAACTGAGGAAACAGGTTTTCAGCCAAAGTTACACGAGAAGTCTATAACCTAGAAGTTACTCCCTACCCTCCTTCACAATATTAACACCCTGAAAAACAGAGCTCCATATGTATAGTAGCACATTTCTACCCCCATTCTTTATCTTGCCAGAATTTACAGATTCAGAGTGCACAAAATTAACAAGCCATATGAGTTACCGGATGGGTAGCTGAGCAGTACAGGACATCTGAGGCACAACAGTTAGATGACAGACACATTTCCACAAGGGTTTAAACCCCACATGCTGTCTAATTACTCCCAAGGCGCCGCTGATTCTGTGGCATGTCATCAGCAGAATCAGCGAGTTGGACAAAAAACAAACAGCGTTTTTTTTTCCCTTTCTTTTCTTTCAGATACTCTGAAGGGAAACAGCTGTTTTTCCCTTCATCTGAAGAAGTTCATGATAAAAAGGAGGAAATGTCATAAATTACATAAAATGCCAGTGTAAGCTTCAAAGAAAATGATAAATGATTCTAATAACTTCATGTTTCTCATTAATGCCTCTCTATTTAGGAGTTTAAAAGCGCTCAAGACAACACAGAAATCTCATCCAGCTTTTGAAGGACCTTTTACAAATCCAGGACGCCCTCATTCTCCCAACTGCCATCAACACCATCATCCCAGGGTGCCCCGTTCCCGAGTGAGCAGTTCAGCAAACTTCTGTCATGCAAAAAACAGGAAAGCCTGTAGCCTGGGTTCAACCCCTGCAACTGCTCTTTCACCCAATCCAGTTGATAATCCTAGAGTAACTTTAATTTCTCACCGAGATGATATGCACTAAAAGAACCTCAATTATTAAAAGAAACAAAATTCTACTCTCTATTTTCTCTATTCTCTCTACAGCCATAGATTTTAAACAGTGGAGATTCACAGATTAACCCTGCAGGGTTTCCTGAAAGTAACTACAAAAAAAAGTTCATGTACACTGTATCATAATCTACAGACATAAAATTTCCAACGTTTGCACCTCCAAAATCCTTCTGGAGTCCAAGAAAAGCCTTCCTCCAAGAAAAGCCTTGCTCTATACAGCAAGTCCTGCTGGAACACTCCTGCACCAGAGTCACTTCTGGTGTCTGTAAGTTGATAAAAAAAAATCATTTACAAAGCTCATTTTAATAGAGAGTCTTGTAAAATGAAATGGTTTCTATACAGAAAATGCTTTCTTTGACTGGTTGCAGGGCCTTCTGCACTTGGAAAAAGGGGATACCATTGCCATTGGGATGATGACTGTATGTCAGAGCATAGCAGGAACAGCCTACCATGTAGTCCCTCATTTGGCCACGGTTGAACTAGCCACAACACACAGGCTTCAAGAATATTGCCTCCATCTGTTAAGGCACACAGGTATAATGATAGTATGTGCTCTTTGCTCTCAAGTACCAAACAGTGATCATGCTGTAAACTTAGTGGACAGATTCCATATGGCCATGTTTGCAAGGATTGCTGGGTACAGACACTGCTAGATCCTGCTCCTTCCTATCCCTTACTGTTAAGTTTTCAAAGAAATAATTATCACAAAGGGAAGAACAGCAAATTAACAAACAGGAACAAACAGCTCTACTAAACCATTTTTTCTCTTTAGTAATTATTAGCCAAGTAATTCATAAGTAGTATTAGTCGGGCCACGGTTTCTCTCTGCCCAACCTTCCTCTTCTCCCAGTCAGGGATTTATTAAAATTAAACAGATTAGATGGAGCTCCTGATACTAAAAACTGTTCAGCGAAGCCTGCGGTGGGGAAGTGCAGAGCAAACACCAGAGACATTTGTCTCTAAATTGCTCTAAATACCTTCTGCAAATGAAATTCTAACCCAGCTGTGTTGAGAGAGAAAATGAGGAATAACTGGTCATTGTCAGCAGAGGAGAAGATCAGGCGGTTATAATATTGCACGATATACTGGGGGCTAAGGATCTCTCGGCAACAATAGATTTTGTATCAGGTTACCCCGGGTAATCAGCACAGCTTTTAGGCTCAGCTTTCCCTTGCTTCATTGCTTCGATGATAGAGTTGAAATCCCCAAGCTTTTATGATTAATTACTCCCCGTAGGTCCACATATTTCAACGAAAAACTCATGGAGCACAGCAGCCAAAAGGCTCCAAATTTTAATGCCATCCTGATGGCAGGCAGGGCAAGCAGTGTTGTACAAACACTAACTGGCACTAGGACAAGCAGTGAGAGGACCACATTGAAACTGTTGTACCTGTCAACTACTTATCATGACAACAACGTGAAAACATGAGTCTGCCATTCCCTTCTAGGTCTTTTGCTGTTCAAGATGAGCAGAGTGATGCCTATGCTTGAATTCTCTATGATATCAGGTCTCATGCATCTCAATAAAAATGTCATATCCTCAGTCAGACTAATATGTATATCATGGACTTCCCTAATTTTCAAAAATAAAGGTCTTTAACTGCAGAATTCAGTACACTCTGAAGCACCGATGGCTTCAGCATATAAGTTGTCAATCCCCTCTCAGTTTTAGAGGTTGTATTTTCAGGATCATTTTGCTTCTCATGCACATAATTTACTCCAAGATAAGACCCTTTGTAATATTCACGTCTTGCATGAAAGTTTGTGGTCTAAGAAGGGTATCATGAACTTCACCTGAAGAGCACTATGTTGTTGGCTGAAAACTTCATATTAAAGAAAATTAGTTCTCTTTGTGATTCAGAAATAATAATAATTAAAAAAAAAATCAGCAGGCAATTCCATCCTTTTGAGACTATATTTGATTGGTCAAATTCTGTTCAATCCCTACAAAAAAAAGGGCTAAACATAGTTACCAGGTTACCGTTGCAGCCTGAAAGTCAGGCTGAACCCAAGCCTGACCTTGTTTACTTTTACTAAGTCCTTTGCTCTTCATTCCTCTCTGGCTCTCCTCTAAAGCATTTGACCTTTTCACCCAGAAGCCGGTCATTCTAAAGCCCATGTTGCAAGGAGGTAGAAATGACCAACTAGTCCATAACAGTAAACTATCCTCACTTCGAAAAATATCTAATAATAGTTAACCCTAGAACTTCCAATGTGTCTTCTGTATTCTACAGCTCCACATCTAGTGCCACTATTGCTCTAATCAGTATGGAAGACGATAGAGTAGTATTTCTCACAAACTTCAATTTTTTTTTCTTAAACACATCTCCCTTATCCTAACATCTAATTTTCCATTGCAATATGTTCTGGATTTAACTCTAACTCAAACTCTGTCATTACCACTGAGACAAGAAACCTATGTGTCCATACCTTTCTTCTTCAGAAATGCTCTTCTGGTTGCAAGCGGACTTTGGCGGACTCGGGGATTCTGTAAAAACTTCACTGCAGTTGCAATCTGGTGAAGGTAAGAAGATTGGAGAAACAGAATAGAGAAAAGTTAGGAATGGTCATATTCCTATTTTATGTTATGCATTTTTTTGCACTGCAAAGGCATGACATTCAACAACACATGGAGATGGTCTGGAACTGAAATCAATCCAAATTTGGAAAATGTTTCAGTGATCAGATCCTTTCTAATCAGCCAGCACAATTATGAAATTTCAACTTCAAAGTTTTTCTTTGAATTACTCTTTCAGCAGCTCAAGCTGTACGAAAATCTGCATTAAGATTCTTAGAGTTTACTCTGATTTAGATTGTGATATTTTGGCATAGGTAGATACCTACATTTGGGAACAACCCTGAGACAGGACATCTGACCTGCAACTGTTAGACTGTTACTAAGATCAGAAGAATGCTCCCATTCTATCTGACTTGAAGCTCCTTGCAAATTCTGGGAGATTAAGGGCATATCTGCCATTGCTCTAATTAACTGTAAGCAATAACTAAATCTCAGTTTGTCATCACTGGAAAAGAAACAAAATTTCACATTGTGCATAACACCTATTGAAAATATAAGGAAAAAATCACTTTTCATAATATAAATGGATAGGTGAATGGTTTAATTTATGCCCCACTCTGACAGAAATCACAGATTGCTTTTATCAAAAGACTAACTTCATCCCCATGTTTCTTCAGGGTGACACAGCACTTAAAACAAACCATGTACCCAGGCAAAGTGTAAAGTCTGCAGTATTACTGAATGGCACCAACAACAATGGCACTTGTTTTTTAAATTGGAATTTAGTGCCAGCGAAAGGTATTTGATTTTTTTGTTCATATGACAGGTCAATTTTCCACATACTCTCCTATATTACTCTGCATATTATATGTTGCTGCGCTGTTGAAAAACAGCTGATTCACCTTACCTTTATACAGTACAAAGGCATCTGTTTTGATTGAGGTATCAGGAGAAATAATTTGCCTGAAGCTAACAGCACTTAGGAGATGGACACATTCATGTGAACTAATGAAAGAGATCACTTCCTTCCTCCACAGCTAAAAATAACCATGCATATACATGGAAGAGGTGCCCTTTTTTCTCCCCGAACAGTGGCATATGCATTCTCTAAAACAGTGGCAGGTGTTAGTTAGAAAGTGTATTTGTAAGTCTGGAAGAGTTTGAGCTAAAACATAGTTTTTGGAATTAAGTTCCAAATAGGTTTTCAAAATATTTCAGAGTAGTAGAAAAGAAGGAAAAACACAGCATCACTGTTGAAATCACTAAGTTTCACCTTGTGCTTGAATCAAACCCTTCAAATATGCATTTCTGGTCAGAGAGCAAAGTTCTGATGGGTTTAATGGCACTTTCAATGTACTCCTCAGTACATTCCATCATTTTTTTTTTAAATTGCATCTCTTATTTCTTTAAATACATTAATCAAGCTAGTGTAGGCAAAACGGATCCATTGGACAATGCAATAAACATGAATTATCATCTATCCAACACGCATAATGGCTTAAAAATACATAATAGCAGGTGTAGTTTAAATGATTAGTTATTACACCTGTGGTGGGTCTGATTCAATTGGGGAAAATCATCTTTAATAGGTTAAAAGGTTTAGATCACCAGGCTTCCCTTAAAGTGGCTGTAGAGAGGGTATGATGGAGTATGCTGTCATTACTAATTCATTTAAGAAAAACATGGGGGATACAGCAAAGAACAGCATAAATGAGTGAATCCAATTTAAACATCAGGTAAAGCAGAAAACACCTTTTAAAAAAGGATGATAAATGAATTTGGAAGAGAGATGAAATTGACATATTTATTTTAACGGGAATTTGACAAAGTCCTGGCACACTTCAAAGTTGGGAGAATATAATGAATGGAGTATTTTTCATTCTCTTCTTTTTCTCATTTTCCTTTTTTTTTCCTCTTAAGTTTATGTTCAGTAATTTTGAAACATGAAATAGTACAGCAGAATACCCCACATAAAGTACATTTGGTCTCATTTATGTGCACTTGATCTGTCTCTGACTGAAATGCAGGTGACAGGCAAATCGCGCATTTAAACAGTGCTGATACTGCTACACTGGATTCAGAAATATAAAGCACACAAATTAATAACCTTAAGATAATATGCTGAATAAGAAAGATGCCCAAACGAGCAGACCAACAGATATGCGAACATATCAAACCCACTTTTCTTCTAACAATAATTACTTGTTTGTTTCTTCACGAACTCTGCAACACTCCCTCCCGCATTTAGTGAGCTGGCGACAGACACAAAAGGCTTGCAGACCTGAAATTCTGCAAGCTCTCAGAGTCTTTCATTAATATTATCATTTTATAAATACAAAAAAGACCCACCCATAAGATATAAGCAGCATTTTTCATTGTCTTATTTTAACCCTAATCTTTTTTAACATTTTATTGATTCTAACTCTTTACTAACACTTATTTTTGCCTTGCAAAAACATAAACATTTCAGTAGTAAATTTTAGCTCAAAATAAACTTCCATTTTATCTCTTCCCTGCACCATTTCCTCCACTGTTCACAAAGGTTTTATTCTTAAGACAAAATGAAATTACAAGAAGAAACAACAAACTTCACACACAAAAAAATCCTAATAGTTACTCCTGCTCCCCATAATCCTATGTTTTTCTTATTTATGTTTGCATTTACCTCTAGAGTACACATTCCTCCTATAGGCTGACCTGAAACTTCTTCCTTTTTGTAATTCATCTTGTATACACGAACAACTTACAAAGCAATTTTGGCCATGTCAAGATGCCAATATTTTCAACAACAGTACACAAGAACTTTCCTACCTTCTAAGGATGATTTTCTCTGCACAAACAAGGACAACTGCAGCCCATCATTTAAAAGACAGAAAAAGAAAAAGGAGGGGAAAAAAGAGAAAAAGACTTCCCAGTCCTTTGGGCAGATGAACAAAACGTCCTGCAAGCAGCATTCTTATTCAGATAGGAACATTGTTCCATACTATTTCTGTGTCATTTGTAACTCTTGCCAGAGTCCTAATAATAGAAAAATTTGCATAAGTAGTACTCATTGTATCACCATTCTGCCAATACACACAGGTCAGCAAAATAGTTTACCCAGAGTCTTATCATTGTTAGCTATTATTTCTAATAAAAAAATGTGCATTTGTTTTTAAAAGCAAGTGAATTCCATAAACTTGCTATTACACCCGAGCTTTTCCCACAGTGACGGGATACACACAACACATTTTTGTTGGGGTGGTCGTGGGTGGAATCTTGCACTACAGCTTGATTTTTTAATTAGAAGATGAATGTGACTATTCCTGGATTATATTTGTGCCTGGCCAAATTACATAAATTCAGCGCAAATATTCTGCTTCAATGTCAAAGATATAAAATGGAAACACTAACTTTACGGCAGACATTGGGGAGTGCAGCAAAATGGTGAAATTCTGGGCCAAAGCACGGCACTTTGATGTCATAGACAAGGTCCCTTATTGACAATTTCCCTCCCTCTTGTGTTAGTGGAGAAGGTACAGCTTATTTGTTATTATGCTCAAAGCTGCAGGATTTTAATTTGACAGATCTAAACTACTTTATCAGTTCCTAGCATTAGAAAAATAAGCCATCGATCTTAAAACACAGTGGCAAATATCCACTTTCTACCATCATCACTTAAAGCTCCACAGGATTTAGTAGCACAGGTCCACATGGAAAGAGATTCAAAAGCCACTGGGAGTGCAGCCAGTAAGAGCTCTAATAGATTTCCTAATACTGGGAACCCTCTGTAGGTTATTACTGAACAGTATTTGTTGATAGACTGAGACTTTGAGATGACCTGTGATGTAAAGGTTGGATCTGAATTATACGTTGCAAGGGATGGTATTTTGTCTTTCTGAGTGGATCTGTATCTGTTTAAATGCAACACTTCTTTTCATTAAGCAGAGGCGGCACAGGCCATGAACTATGCACAGACAGTTTACATTACATGTGCGGAAGCAATCAACACTGGCAATATACATGACGTATGTAAAAGAAGTTGGAATTAATTTTTTTCCAGTGTATTAAAAAATAATAATACGGCAGCATCAACAAACACTCAACCTATTTTAGCCAGAGCAGAAGGCCACTGCTATAGGGCAAATGGAACTGATCAATATATTAGCCTACAGCAACATCCCCCCAGTGTACAGCTGTATGTTTGCAAGGCTCAGAAGATTAAATTGTCTGTGAAAGGTTTCTGCACTCCTACTCCAAAGGAGATACCCAGAATCCTGTTAACAAGCATCAGGCTAAAGCCAACTTACGTTTTAACAAGGGCTGACTTAAAAGCCTGGTACTGCAATGAACAAGAAAACCCCTTCAAACAGAAATGCTGCATTTTAGTAAGAAATCAGTTCTCTGTCAGGACTAACGTGACAAATATGGTCATCGGTGGCACAAGGAAATAGTTGCAAAGCAGCTGTTAATCAGGGAAACACATCATAGAACGCTGATGCTAGCACTCATGAAAAAATGCAAGGGGCTAATTACGAAGCCATATATCTCACTAAAGAGGCTCTGTTCCTCGAGCTTCCAGGCAGAACTCTTTAAGAGTGCGGGTCCTGGGACACTGCACGCACCACGTTCCCTAATACAGGCTGCCTTCTCCCAGGACAAATGCAAAATCAGGGCTTTGAGTCCCAGGTTTCCCAATTTACATGCCACGGAAAGCACTTGTTCCTTCTAAAGAAATGATCTGCGGGTCAGTCAGGAGAGAGGAAACACTTTAAAGCTCCTTGAATTTCCTTGAAATTTTTATGAAACCAGAACAACTCCATGTAAGAGCACTTAGAAACCTGCTGAGTTTGAGGGATATGAACATCTCACAAAAAAAGTTTTAAAATAAAAAATAAAATAAAATAAAATAAATAAAAATTGAACAAACTCATGCGAAATAGAGGAAATAAAAAATAAATAAAATTTAAATCAAGATTCATAAGAGTAAGAACAGAAGGAGCAAAGGCAAGGAAGAA